GATCTTCCGGAAAAGGGCTTATTTTCCGCAAGATCCCATCTAGACTGGCGCTTTTCTCCGGCAAAACCCCGAGCCGGAAAAAAGCGGCAGCCATATTCATGCGAATGCCGCGGGGGATATTTAAATCCCCCCCGGCATTTGCAATTCTGAAGTGTCTCATTAGCATCCCTTTTATGGAAAAGGGTGCCAATGTAGACACAGCCAACAAGTGTAGACAAAGTCTCCAGCTCTCTTGAGTCCCAGGCAACTGTTTAACCACAAGCTCATTCTTCTACTCTTGAAGCAGTTCAGTGGCTGGCTGACAGCATTTGCAGTGTAGGCCATGCTTATTCCAAGCCCTTTCATTTGGGATACTCTGTCAATTTGCAGCAGAATGAAGCCGGCAATAGAAACCAGATCTGGCAGCTGCCATTGAAATGTCTCTGTTTGACAGGATAAGGTAGGCCAGATGGACATCTCTCAGTGTCACAGACCAGGGATGCTTTGCTGGATGGTAATGAGGAGGGGGGTTGCCAAGCTCACACTAGTGCTCTTCTTCTGTCTGTGCAAAATATTGTTCCCACATGTACAGCCAGAATGAGCCATCCAAGAAAATATAGGAGGGAGAACTGAAAGTCCAAAGTACCGCTCTGTTCTCAGTGTGGATTGTTAGGTCTGGATGGGAGTGCGGGGAAGCCTCTGAATAGAAGACGTGGGATGAATCAGCTGTCCAAAATGACACACAGCTGTTTTCTGTAGCTAAAAGGTAAATCTACACCACAGGGAGCCTTAATATTACAGCAGGCAATGCAGCTCCAGAAGCAATATCCATAACAGCATCCCAGTGCTTTTGCTAAACAAACAACAACAAGACAGACTTTGAGTAAGATCAAAAAAGTTGAAAAGTCCTACTCAGCAACAGCGAAGAACAAATAGTAAATGCATGGTTTTGTGTCTGGATCTAGTAAGGATCCATTTCATTGGGCTACTAGGTCTCACAAATAGTGGTAAGCTGTCGGTTGTCTCATATGAAGTTTGGTGAACAATGTAAGAGCTAGGGTGAGAGAGAGGCTGTGATCAATGTAAGAGCTAGGGTGAGAGAGAGGCTGTGATCACACTTGTTGCAAACTTTGAGTGAGAAGCATGATGTTTTTCCTGAGCTTCTGTGATGAACCTCGGCCCTGGATTCATATGAGCAGCCGTGGTCAGGAGTCCCTTGGGTTGCCAGCTGCCTATTCTTAAGAAGTGGCTATTGCCTCCAACAATCATGCCACTGAAGTTCAACAGAGCTCAAAGTTCTTGGAGCTCACTGAAAACATCTGGTCCAAATGCTGATATTTTGGTGTCACCATCACGATCTGCAGTCCTCTGAAGGGCTGCCTCAGGTCTAACATTCTGCTTCTGTCAGGAAGTGTGCAGTAGCCATTGGCTTCAGAAAGAGCTTGTTGTTTGTTGAAGGCTGCAGGGATGGTGCTATAGCCACATCTGCGAAGTAAAGTGGAGTAGGAGAGTAGTTCAGGTCTGTGTTTGCTATTCAGACTAGTGCTGTGTTGCCAGTGACTTGCGTTTGCCCTTTAGCAGTCTGGTGCTTTGCCAAAAGCTCTAGCTGCCCCTGGAGGCCTGAGCAAACTTGCCCATCTAGGCCGAGCAAAATGACACACTGAATTATGTGCCAGGGTACATGCACTTATTGTCTCTATGATTCCATCAAAACCCCTCTTGTTGGTGGAAGATAGAGACTTTTAAGGTCAGAGTGAGGTCTCCTGGTCACATGCCTGTTCCCACCATTGAATGGGGAGGAAAGAGGGAATGAGCAATTCCTTCCATCTCATGACTGCTTCAGCCTATGTCGCAAGGGCTGTCAGCCAGACCTGTTCCTGTACAGTGTGCCAGGATCTCAGCCAGAGGCATCATCACCCATTTGATATGGACAGTGGAGGGCAAACCTGCAGTAGATGTGATTCTAATCTGAATGCAAAAGCAACTGCAGACCCAAGTGAGAACCTAACGTAACTGCTGCAGGTGGCTTATTGTACGCTGACTGTTGCTCAGTAATAAACAGACCAATGATTGCTGGTCCCCAGGATTGCCTTTCGACTCCGTCCCAATCGTCACAGGTGGTAACATCTACTGATTTCACATTTACTTTCTTTCAAGCTAGTGTATTTTTAAAATAGTAGTGGGTTAAATAGCAATCAGTTTGCAAATATCGCTGATGGTTTCATCAAAGTGGCTTATCTGGCAAAAATACTTCATTGCATTTTCAATACTTGCTGTCTCATTAAAATAAACACAATTTCATAGTTTGTTCAACATGCATGTTTGCATAACGCACCAACTAATGAACTATTTTAGTCTGCTAAGCTTCTCAAACAGCCTTCACCATGCACCTGTCGCCCTCTCCTCCCCCCAATATTGTCTAATTTTCAGGTATGTGGAGG